TATTAAGTCAGATTCTTTGACCCTCAGAGCCCTCATTCATAAAAAAAGTAAGGACCAGGATATTAAAATTCTTCTAATCTAAAACAGCCTACTATTTTACTCAATGGATACCTTTGGTAGAGACTAAATAGATGAGCTTAAATAAACAAAACATATTAGAATATAAAATACATATTTAAAGGAAAACACAGGATGAAGAAAATACATATACTCAATATATAGACTAAGTAGGATCTTCCCATCCAAAATATATTGATAGAAATTGATATAAAATATAGATCCAAATATGTATGGTCAACATACACCTGTATTCCATAAGTAATTAAGAAAAATAAACCCAAAGTTTTCACACACAATTATAAATGTAGTAAGTCACTATATGGAAAAATGGAGAGGCTTGTTAAAAATACAAATTAAAATGGCATTCAGTTCAGTTCAGTTCAGTCACTCAGTCATGTCCAACTCTTTGAGACCCCATGAATCGTGGCACACCAGGCCTCCCTGTCCATCACCAACTCCTGGAGTTTACTCAAACTCATGTCCATCGAGTCAGTAATGCCATCCAGCCATCTCATCTTCTGTCGTCCCCTTCTCCTCCGGCCCCCAATCCCTCCCAGCATCAGGGTCTTTTCAAATGAGTCAACTCTTGGCATGAGGTGGCCAAAGTACTGCAGTTCCAGCTTCAGCATCAGCCCTTCCAATGAACACCCAGGACTGATCTCATTTAGGATGGACTGGTTGGATCTCCTTGCAATCCAAGGGACTCTCAAAAGTCTTCTCCAACACCACAGTTCAAAAGCATCAATTTTTCAGTGTTCAGCTTTCTTCACAGTCCATTAGTGTATCACTATCTACCTATTATACTAGCAAAAATAAATGGAAGTTATAAAAATCCCAGTAACAGCTATACTATGGAAAATTAAGGTATTTATTGGGTACATAATATTTTGCTACTCAAAAATATCATTGTTTAATGATTTTCCTAGAGTTGGGCATTGTCACAGGACAATATTTAATGAAGAGCAACCTGTGAATATGTATAAAAGAGCTGTAAAATTGTTTATCATTTTTACAGATAATAGAAATTAAAATTTTAAGTTTTAAAAAATATCAACAATAGCATTTTATTAATAAAAGCTTGGGCAAAAAAGGAAACAAAGTCTTTTAAAAAAAGATTTACTTATATCTCTGTTCAACAAATGTTTAAGTAACTATTTGGAGGAGATAGAAGATTGAAGAAAATCTTTAAGATTAAATCCCTGGTCTCATCCTTTAAGGAACTCAAACTCAGGGAGACAGATGTAATAATTACAGGCAATGTTTCTTGAGGACTTCCTATGTAGGAGGTACTATTTAAGCACTTTAGATATATTAACTCTCAATATTCACAACAACCCTGTGAAGTGGATATTATTATTGTCCTGAAGCACAATGATGAAGTAACTTGCTCAAGGTCATGGCATTCTAGTTTAGGGAAGTATCATCCTTTATTTAATTAATCTCTAAACATTAGGCCCAGCTGTTAAGTAACAGGATTGGGATGAGGATGGAAGCTGGGTGGCTCCAGAAACTAAGCTCTGAATTTCTGCATCAAATACCTTGGTATTTTTATACAGAAATAATGGGAGGTAAGTATCAGTAGGTTCAAAGTGCCATGGAAGCACAAGGAATAAAACAGTGGACTCGGCAGGGGTGGAGGATGGAGAGTGGGGCCAAAGATGGGGGTAGGTCAGGGAGGAAAGTTTATGGAAAAGTAAGCAGAGGCAACATGGACAGTGCAAGACCAGCTCAGGTGTTTAGATTTTTATCCTGGAGATGTTGTGGCCTAAAGGATGTGAGAGCGTAGGTTGAAGGATGGGGAGACTGGCTGGGAGGTTTCTGTAACTGTCCCAGCGGAAGGAAAGGCACATCTGAACAGAAACAAAGGAAGGAAGAGAACCAACTGTCCAGTGTTGTGGACTCCACCAAAGCATAGAAGTGTGTTAATGGAATATACAGGCTGGTGAGTAGGGAAAGGGGGCAAAGAGCACAAAATGACATGTATGGTACTGATCCCTTCTGAAAACGTGTAGGGACATGGCCTGAACTCCAAGGGTACAAACAGAGGGAGACGATGAGCCCAGACTGAGGGCTCAGCATTGTTCTGAACTAGGTTCTGTCTGAGTGTTACCTCATTCAGGGTTCCCAGCTCTGCCAGGAAGGTGTCAGCATTCCCATTTCACTGTCAGGGGCACTGAGAGTTCCAGGGTGTAGGTTAGCAGCCTGAGTGGTATGGCTTGTCCACAGTGGAGACACCGTGTGAGTGCCGGACTGTGAGATCTCAAGTGCCTGCTCTTGCTATCATGGAGGCCTCCTCATTCCAGGAGAAAACTTCATGATCCCTGAAGTTTGGATCAGGACAATTGAGGGAGAAATTCAAACTAGGAAAACAAGTGTGCGAGAGACTAGCTTGGAATCATCTTTGATTCATCACTCTCCTTCATCCCCCTGTACCATCCAGCACCACCACCTTCTGTCAATCTCATCACCAAGGCAACTCTACATGTCTCCTCTTCTCCACTCCCATTCCCCGCTCAGCCCAATCCTGCCCAGGCTCATCTACTTGAAAGGCATTGTACACTACTCTCTCTCTGATCAAACATTTTGAGAAGGAACTCTTCAAGACTTTCTAATAACACTGCTTCCTAGATGGACTTCCTGTTTCCACTCTTATTTTCCCCACATTCTGAGGGATTAGGTTGTGTCTCTGTTCTCAGCCCTCCGGGACCTCCCATCACACTCAATATAATCCAGGGTCCCTGACAAGGATCACTGTCTTGGGACTTTCTCTCCTTCTGACTCCTCCTCTCAACCTGTCAAGGCTGTTCTTTCTTCATCTATGCCATACATGTTGCCACCTCAGAGCCTTTACACGGTACTTCTCTTCGTTAGAAGTAATCAACTCTCACCAACCCACCCTAAGATATTTACACGGACCTGCTCTCGTTTTATTCAAATTGCTGCTCATTTATCACATTCTCAGAGATCCCCCCCGACTACCATCTCTAAAAAACCAGTTTTCTTTATCCCCAACCTCTTACCCTGCTTTATGTTTCTTTATGGCCCCTGAAAACTGAGAGTGAATTTGCTCAGTCGTGTCTGACTCTTTGCGACCCCATGGACTGTAGACTGCCAAGCTCCTCCATCCATGGGATTTTCCAGGCAAGAATACTGGAGTGGGTTGCTATTTCCTTCTCCAGGGGATCTTCCTGACCTAGGGATTGAGCCCGGGTCTCCCACACTGCAGGCAGACTCTTTACTGCCTGAGCCACCAAGGAATCCTTTTATAGCCCCTAGTACTACACATGTATGTGCATGCATACTCCACATGCTAGGAAACCAACCATTGTGCTTTGCCCAGGGGGTTCCTGGGCCAAGGCACCTTCAGTGTTAAACCCAGACAGTCCCAGGCAAATCAGGATGGATTGATCACCCTACACTTGCCCTACCAGAATATAAGCTTGACGAGGAAAAATTTTATTTTGTTCTCTGCTGGATCCCCAGCAGGTAACATCATGCCTGGCACTGAGCAGGTGCCCAATAGTCATTGAAGGAGAATATATGAACAGTTTCCTGTTTCAAATAGCTCTAGGTTTAAACTTATCTTCCCAGCATTCTAGTTCCTCCTAGACTGCTCACCTTAATCACTCCACCCTATTTCCTATCACTTCCTGTGGACACTCTCTGCCCCAGGCATTCCAGTCTCTTTATACTTTTGCAAACTCCACCAGAAATGATCCCTTCCCCTGAAGAACCCTCCCGTGGCTCTCCTATCTGAGCCAGCCTCTTTGATATGCTTTGTCTTATTTTTTTCAATCTATGCCAGTGAAAAATGGAGGATGGATGCATGGGCCCCTATCAGAACTTCCTAGGGCATTGTTCCAAAATCTACTCCTCTCCTCCCAGTGCTGAGAATTATTAACAGATAGGACTTCCTAAGGGGAGGAATTTGAATTTGAAGTTTATTAGAATTTTAGTCTGTCCCTATAAGGATGTTGAATACTCTGGGATGTCTTTGTTTTGTTGTACCCTTTTTCATCAATAAGAAATCATTGATTTGCTGTTGTGTGGTGGTATTTCCAAGTGTTATGAATTACCCTAAAGCATTTGACTTTGGTCTTTTGCTTTTGGTTTGAGAATGGGAGTGAATGGGCTTCCCTGGTGACTCAGGGGGTAAAGAATCCGCCTACAAGGCAGGAGACCCAGGTTCGATCCCTGAGTTGGGAAGATCCCCTGGAGGAGGGAATGGCTACCCACTCCAGTATTCTTGCCTGAGAATCTCCATGGACAGAGGAGCCTGGAGGGCTACAGTCCATAAGGTAGCAAAGAGTTAGACATGACTGAGCGACTAACACTTTCACTTTCAAGGGGAGGAGGGGAAATTAAACACTGGTATTTTCAAAAAGCTCCTGAGATGATTGACAACAAACCTACAGCACCTTGTGTGAAAGGCACTGATGTAAAAGAGACACTCCACAGCGCTTCACAACCCAGCTCCAGCCCCTCAGCTGCACCACTTGTATTACGGTCTTACCTGCCCTCTCCCGTTCTAAACGGCTCAGGATCTGAACCACATTCCTAAGACTGATCCTGGGGGCCTGGCATAACACACGGACAAATCAGGGTTGCATATGTGGGACTCTTGGTCTGGCTTGGAAACCCTCTCAAGAGGATGCGGCGGTCATTTCCTACCCTTCTCCAGCCATTGATGTGAATGGGCCTCTCTTCCCTCTCTTTCTGGAAGTCTCTGCACTACTGAAAGACCACTCACCTTCTGCCCACTCACATCCTGCTCTGAGTGAACTATCCCTGCCGTCAAAGCAGATTACAGCCAGTGCCAGGGCCCACCCCCTCCTCACCTCCTCTTTTCACAACCCTGTCTCAGAACTGGTCTGAACCAGCCCTGACCTCTAAGTTGGACTGTGTGGTTGTTTCAGCCAGGTCTTAGACATCAGACCGAGATGGTGACTCAAGGTAAGCCAAAGTCTTTGAGCTTTCATTCCCATACAGGGAAACATACTGACCTCACAGGATTTTTAAGGGGATTAAGTGTGATAATGTCAGTAAAAATTCCCAGCACAGAGTAGGAACCACCCCCACCCACGCCCCTGGAAGCCTTTTTTTCTGACAAAGGAGCAATGCCTGTCACCTGGGCATGGGGACACTGGTTCTCCCAGCCAGTTTGGGTTCTGTCCTAACAGAAACATCACTACTAGAAGTACCCCAGTGTCACTAGAGTTTGGGATTACTCCGGCTTGCTCTCTGGATGGCTTGTTCAAACCTGCACTGCAATACAAGAGGGTTCTTTTGAGCAACTAGATGGTCATTCTTTGAGTTGGAGGCACTGTTACACCACACCTGGGCAAAACAGAAAAGTGCTGTGCTGATGGTTGAGCAGGCTGTCCTGGAAGACCAGAGGATGAAAAAGAGGATTAGGATGGGGGTGGGATGCAGGCTTCTAGGGATTCCTGTGCAGGAAAGAGGGGGTTGAAAAGAGCCTGTTCTTGCACAGCATGGTAGCTTTCAAGTAAAAATCAGAGGGAAGGGGAGGGGGTGGGGAAGAAGGTGTGGGGCTGGAAGGAGTGTAGACGAAGAATCCTAAGTCTCCATTCAAGTCCTAGTTTTGCTAAATGCAATGCAGCCTTTCTAGATCTCAACTTCCTCAACCACAAAGTGAGTGAGATCAAAACAATTGTATCTTTTTTAAAAAGTTCCCAGCACATACATGTTCATGCCCTTATTTTTTATCTCCTGCCCTTACATTCTCTATCCTTTGGTTTGGAGCCAACTTCTCCTTAGTAACAGATCTCCAGAAGCCATGAACCATCCTCAGCATCCCCCCACCACTTTATGAGCTCAGAGGTATCAGAGCCTCCCTCTCTCTCCATCTGCCACTCCAGCCTTTGTTTCACATTTGGGGCTCAGGTCTGCCTGTAAATTAAAACTAGAATTGCTTCATGCCTATTGCTTCAGATAGTGGAAAACACTGATAGATGTTTTCTGCCATGCCAAGTTAGAATCCTCAATGGCTTTTCCCATAAACTTTGTTATACGTAATTGGTGGTTGGAGTCCATATTACCATGGATACTCTTCTACAGTTACATGAAGGATTAAATTGATTTTGCAGATGGATCTGGGATTTAACCACCACTTGTACCACAGTCTCTGTGGGAAAATATATTCTGTGTTCCAAACAATTGACCTTTTGGAGTTGATCCAGTTCCTAAATTGGGGACAGCCTGTACCATATTATGTTACATTTTGGATTTCAGTTTTGTGTCCTAGAATCAAAGATTTGTTAGAGCTGGAAGAAGTTTTGGATATCTAATGGGGCTAATTTTGTGGGTAATGAAGCCAAGATTCAGAAAGATGGAGAGATTTGTTTAAGGTTATTCAGCTACTTTGGTCTCCCACCTTCAAACCAATGCCTTTCCCACTATCCAAATCATTTTGTGGTCATTTTACCAAACAGCCATTAAACCACTTGAAAGTTGAGAAGATCATGCCTTCTTTAGTGCAGTATCAAATGTACCAAATAGTTCATAAATACTGAATGAATTCATTATTCACTTTGCTTTGGAGGTCTATTTGCTGTAAGATGTCCTCAAATAACAACACGAGGGCATTTGAATTAAGAATGTATTAATAGTAGACTAGATTTGGTTTAAATCAAGATAACTCAAAAATAACTTTAAAAAAAATCTCAAAACAAACAACCCTCAAAAATATTCTATTTAACTAGTGTTTCCTATATAAAAGGGTCTATTTAGGGCTGAATATCTCTCCAATAACTACTTTTCACAGCTCACAGGCCCATCTGGTTTTAGTTTTAGGAGATACATGCCATTAATTTTAATGTGGTCTTAAGGGAGAGCCACTCATTTTATAACTACATTAAAAAACTTAATAACCCTTTGTTTTATTTATGAAAGCCAACTGAAACAGAGACTAACATCATTTGGATACACTAAATGAGGTGAGCTACCATCTTAGAAACAAAACATTCAAACTGTTTTATTTGAAACAATCTTTCCATTTGGTATACTGTTTCCTTACCAGCACACACAATGAGTTATTTCTTGAATTTCCTTGAATGAGCAAGATGGGAGAGCGTGAAAGAGAAACTATCTTACATATGTAGATATTGTGGCTTTATTGTAACAAACTATGGCATGACCTAAATAGACAGCTGGTCCTGTAATCTAACTGCAAGAAGAAAAAAGAGCCACAGATCAATTCTTCAAATATTAAATGGCCATCCTTTGTGATTGCTGCCCAACCGACTTTGTCTTATAGTTAACTGTTCTATGCAGCCAGTTAACTCCTTCAATTCATAGGCATTTACTTTGTGATCACAAAGGATATACCAGACAGTTACTTTAAGAGACAGCACTCCACAGAGAGAGAGAGAGAGTTGGAAGTTGGGCAGGGGAAGGTTTGAGACCAAGGGTGGGGGAAGAGGCATTTGGTGATACCTGGCTTATAATTTGGGGGGCTAAAATGACTGAAAACATGCCTTATGACTTAAATGATCACTTTGGTGCTTGATTATTCTCTCATATGTGTATTGAAATGAAACCAAAAGTAAATCCTAAGCAAAATTCTTGGTCCTGCCTGGGTGTACACCAAAGCTTGCTCTCTACTGATAGAGGTAGCCTCCTACCGCTGCGTGTGTCCTGGCCTGGTTTCTCAATATCCTTGAAGTAAGCTGACTACAAAAGCCTACGATATTTGATTACAGAATGGCTGCCCTCAAGGTATGTCTAATAAAATTTAGAACTTACTGCCATTTAAGACTTACTCAAGACTTAATTGAGAGGAGTCATATTCATGGAAGGACAGCTTAATGTATGTCGATTCATTCATTTATAAGCTATCTTGGATTAGTCAAGGCAACAAAAGTCTATATGTCACTATCACAACCTTCATACTTCGCTACCTAAACCTACTCAGCTTCACACCCTATTGGCTATTGACCAATATCAAGAGGCATATAAAACATCCGTATGAAAGTCTGTGCTGTTTTTACTAAAAGGAATCATGAGGCTACTGCTCACTGTGTTTCAAAGTGCCTTCTTTGAGGACAATCCACAGGGACATCTCTCTGGTCTCAGTACAGTGATAGCTGGGTTTCTCTGAGCACTGGTCTAGCCCAGGCAATTCTTGTCAGTAAGTACAAATAAGATCATGATTTTATTAAGATCCTAAATCTTGATTCCCCAAGTTCTTTACAATCAGGAAGTCCAATTTCCCTTCACAGACATTTCTGGAATTACTCAAGGATATTAACATACATGTTGTTACTCCTAAGCCCATTGGCATGGTGGTAAGTGTTGAACAACTAGTTTTCTAGTGGAAAAAAGCTCTGGATTTATAGCATGCACTGATTTCCTTGGTGTAAATATTCCTCCCACCTTGGCCAATATAATGTCACTGAAAGTAGAGTTGGAAAGTGATGCATAAAAGCATTTCATTACATAGTATTCCCACCTTACAGATACATGTTAACAACCTTTAGACTATACATAATAGTAAGATGTAGTAACATAAATAGAATGTGATGAATCTTAATTAATCATTACCTTTGTCTGTGCTATACTTATTGTAAGTCTATATAATTTACTTTTAAAATAATGATTGTTTAACAACTGGCTGGCAAAATTCCCTGAAAGTTTAACAACTGGCTCTGACACACCACAGTCTAAAGCTCTACTGGGTTGGGAGTCTAGCTAATGGTTTGCCCTTTAGTCTGTTATTAATAGATTAACAATCCTGGTCTCACCAGGAGGAGGACCTAAGCCTCATCCTTTTTCTAAGTCTGGCCACATGTCCAGAAAGAAAGGTAGGCAGTTTCCTGCATGCAGTCAGGACCACTATCTGCTAGTCCCCTGCTCTAAAATCTGCTGGTCTCCAGGTTCAGGTGCTCTTCAGAGCCCACAAAATATTGTTAGTGCTCCAACCAATGTCTCCTGTACCACTGGCAGCTTTTTTCTGTCACTGCTTCTAAGCTGCTGACTTCCCTAACTGGCGATCCCATTCTGCCCACAGGTCACTGCTCAGACTCAGGCCAAGAAATTTGTCAGTGTCAGTATGTGCTAAGTGAGGTTTCTTTCTCTTTGGGACCTACCTACCCTTGATCCTCACAGTGGCTCCAACTGCCTCTATTGCTGCTGCTGCCTGCAGCACTCTCTTTTCTGGTCTCCAGATCTCCACCTCTTACCTCTTCCTCTGTCCTCAATGTCTTGCCTATATCTTAAGGTCTAAATTAACTTTGAAAAGTTAGATTTACATAAATGTGGCATGATAAATCACTTAACAGAGTAGGATGAAATGGAAGTGAAACATGACCAGTTTTATAAAATAGGCATTTATCTAAAGCATCACTGCTTTAAGAAACTTCACTTTATGAAACTTTGACTTTATGAAAGACCTACATGGGTATCTTTTTCTGCTAACTGAGAGAAACCTAAAGAGAACTTTAATTTTTACAAAAATGTGAGAAGCAAAAATAGTGTTTAGCCTTAGTTCTACAGTGGGCTGTGACAGAGGCAGTGCTCACACCAACCACCACCAAGCTCTTTCCCTAGGAACTATACTCAGCATCATCTCAGAATCGGGCTGCCATAACTTTGAATTGTGTCTGTGAGAGTCTGTGCTTTATCTGATTTATTTTGTGTTATTTTGTTAGCAAGATATATCCTAGGGTAATTGCATAGGAATGCTCTACTTTCAGATAGCAGGGGAAACCCACTATATATGTGTATACAGTAAATATATTTATAAAATAATTATATATTATATAAATAAGTATATATATATTCAGAAAGGCTTCCTAGGTGGTGCTAGTGATAAAACACACACACACACACACACACACACACACACACACAAACACAAAAGAACCCATCTGCCAATGGAGGAGACATAAGAGATGAGGGCTCGATCCCTGGGTTGGGAAGATCCCCTGGAGGAGAGCATGGCAACCCACTCCAGTATTCTTGCCTGGAGAATCCCTATGGACAGAGGAGCCTGGTGGGCTACAGTCCATAGGGTTGCAAAGAGTCAGACATGACTGAAGCAACTGAGCACTCATGTGCATTCAGAAAGGAAACAGAAAAGTGGTTATCTATGGCTGGTGAAATTATAGGTGATTTTTATATTTTTTTCTTTCTTTTCCAAATTTCCTTTGACCTAAACTAACATGAGGCATAATGTAGTTTTTATTTACCTTATATGACATAGATATTCATATGATTTTCTTAAAAAAATAATGCAGTTTACAGTGAGCTGTCCCAAAAGCTGCAGAAGTGTTTAGTAATATATAGCATATACACTAGTCAAACTTCAAAATCTGAAGAAGTCTGATTTTAATTCTCATGTAATATTTTTGGAGGCAGATCCCATAAGAAAGTTGGTTGGGCCACTAGTAATATAGCTCTTTCATTTTCATAATAGTTCCTTCTTACCCGGGATTCTAAGACACTAGAAACTCTGGTGAGGGTAGAGGTGAAGGGCCATCTTCCATCTGTAGGCAGCACCCAGAACCACTCTCCAAGCCCTTCTGACTCCCAGAACTCTGCTGAGACTGGACTCTCTCTGCCTACTCCATTTGTAGTGATTTTCTCTAAGGTGCTCGCTTTCTCTCTGTATAATTCAGTTTCCTTCGGGTGTTCCTTGTCTGTTAAATATATCTGCATATATTGGACCCTAATTGAGGACAGTGTTCAAAGTTCTCTTTCATGGGGGTTCATTCAAAAAACTAAGATCATGACATCCTGTCCTATCACTTCATGGCAAATAGATGGGGAAAACAGTGGAAACAGTGACAGATTTTATTTTCTTGAGCACCAAAATCACTGCAGATAGTGACTGCAGCCATGAAATTAAAAGATGTTTGCTCCTTGGAAGAAAAGCTATGACCAACCTAGACAGCATGTTAAAAAGCAGAGACATTACTTTGCCAACAAAGGTCTATACAGTTAAAGCTACCGTTTTTCCAGGAGTCATGTATGGATGTGAGAGTTGGACCATAAAGAAGGCTGAGTGCTGAAGAACAGATGCTTTTGAACTGTGGTGTTGGGGAAGACTCGAGAGACCCTTGGACTGCAAGGAGATCCAACCAGTCAATCCTAAAGGAAATCAGGCCTGAATATTCATTGGAAGGACTGATGCTGAAGCTGAAGCTCCAATACTTTGGCCATCTGATGCAAAGAGTCGACTCATTGGAAAAGTCCCTGATGCTGAAAAAGACTGAAGGCAGGAGGAGAAGGGGATGACAGAGGATGAGATGGTTGGATGGCATCACTGATCCAGTAAACATGAATTTGAGCAAGCTCTGGGAGATGAAGGACAGGGAAACCTGGGGAGCTGCAGTCCATGGGGTCACAAAGAGTCAAACACGACTGGGCAACTTAACAACAATGGGTCCCATGAAAAGTGGAGGATAAAAAGACACTTATTTAAGTGTTCTAAAATATTGTTACTCTTAGAGGCTCATGGAGAGATCTGGGAAAGTGGCATCCTAGTCCATAAGCTGGTCTACTCAAGTTCCAGATTCAGTTCAGCCAGAACACTTACTCCACTTGCTACTGACTGGTTGCAATTTTCCTTGGACACTAGAAAGCTTAGAACCATACTTGTGACCTATCCCTAGCAAACCAAAAGGACCTTACATCATGCGTTTTGTATACAATACAGCTGGTTTTACCATTATCTCTCCCTCAGTTTTCTTTTGTGCTGTTATTCACTGTATTTATTTTAATTGATCCTATTGCATGTATTTATATAAGCTACTTTAAATTCCTTCTTCTGGAATAAAACAGGTATAAATTAATGTTTGTTAGTAAAAGAGTTTGATGAGGATCCATTCCTTCACCCCTAAAGGCCCCAGGATGAACTGGCACAATAAGAGTCAATGAGAACTACTTCAGACAGAATCACCATAATAGACTGTCACCTGGTCTGTGTTCACCACCAAGGTACATGCTAAATCTTGAAATGGAGAGAAAGCTAGACAAAATGGGATTAGGAAATCCTATCTCTATAAATCATCTGAACCATCATAAAATACTTGTTTGGACAATGCTTCACTACCCTCCCCCCCCCCCCCAAACCTATGATTTCTGTTCTCAACGTTTATGATACAGCACATGCATATTTTAAGCTCACATACTGAGGGGGAGTATATCACAACTGTTGATAGTGCAGACGCTGCTGCTAGATGCCTGGGTTTGAATCCCAGATCTGCCACTGAATTGTGGCTAAGTACTTAACCATTCTGCATTTCAATAAATCCTATCTACAAAGTAAAGATAATAATAGTACCAGTGTAAGGATTAAATAACACATGTTCTATAACATTTAAAAACTGTGCCAGAGCACATACAGGGATCTCAAAAATGTTAGTTATTATTAGTGATATGAGAGTGGGGGGAGCACTGCCTTGAGCTTGAAACAGCATCTTAAGTTTCTGGACAAACACCTGAGGAATGATTAAAGACTTTGCCTCTGACCACTTCTGAGAACAGGTCAAAAACTCTGGCTTATCTAGATCTTTTGCGTGGCTACTCTTCCCCGTGCTTTTCTAGAGGCAGAATTACGTGAAGGAAAGAAGAGGTGGGCAGCCAACCTTTCTGAGCCTCAATGTTTCTTTGTCCCTGTCTTCTACATACCAGATGTGGCAGAAGCTGAAGGCACAAAGATAAACTGGATTTTGGGTCGAGTGTAGGAGATAAGTGCAAAGATAATCACACGGTAGAATGATTAAGCAATATAATGAAGGTATTTTTCTTGTCGTTAAATGCACTGTGGAAAACAGAATCCACAGAATTTAAGACGTCAGGTATGTGAAAGAGATCTAAAGAAAGCAGACAGCGGGACCCATGTAAAATACTTTTATTGCTGACCTTCCTAAGGCCCACTTCAATTTATTTCATCCACGGACACTCGGCAACCAACCTTGTGGAACCGTTGGATTACAAAACCCTTTATTTGCAAAGTCAAACTTTTCCAGTAGAATAATCCCTTCTCGTTTTCCAAACGGACAAACCCAGCTTCAAACACGGGTAACAGCAGTCCACGTTTCCCACTTACTGAAAACGAGGAATTGCTTGCCAAATCAGGGACTGAAACCCAGGAAAGAAAAGCGAGGCGGGAACAGCCACAAGCGCGTCTGCGTAGCGCCGGGGCCCGGCCAGCTGGGAGGAGGGAGGGTCAGCACTGCCTACGCGCGCTCTGCGTAATGGAGCTTCCCCAACGCAGTAAACCCTGGAAGCCTCCGAGGCGCCTGCGCAGCCGCTGAGATTCAGTGCAGTGGAACTGGCGAGGAAGGGCGACGCACCTGCGCGAAGGGGGCGGTGCGGCGCGGCGGCGGTGGCGGCGGGAGAACCGAGTCCAGTGCGGTTGCGCGAGGGCAGGGGGCGGGTGAGGCGGGGCCGCGCGGGGAGTACGCCGTGCGCCTGCGCCGGGGGCTGCGTGGCGCGGTGGCGGGGCCGGGCGGTGTGGAGTGAGTGGCGCTGCGGGTGGGGCTGTCGGCGGCGCTGGTGAGCTTTGCGGAGTTGGGCGGTGCCGAGGAGGAGGAGGAGGTGGCGGCGGCGGCGGCGGCGGCTGGGTCTGACGCGGCCCGGTTCGTGGGGGGCTCCGCTTGTTTATTTATTTATTTATCGTGGGTGCTTCCGAGTGTGTGCGAGCTCCACTGCTAGGTGGGGAGGGGGTGGGGGGAGGGCCAGGGGGAAGGGGGAGTTGGAGCTGGGGTCGAAACGCCGCGTGACTTGTAGGTGAGGGCACGCCGAGCGGTCGCCGCAGACTCCGCCGCCGAGAAGCCCTTGTTCCCGCTGCCGGGAAGGAGCGTCTGGTGCCGACAAGATGGCGGACGGGGAGCTGAACGTGGACAGTCTCATTACCCGACTGCTGGAGGGTGAGTCGGGGCCCGGCGGGCCGCGGGGAGGGGACGCTCTCCTTTACCCCTCCTGGTCCCTCGGGCTCTGGAGCCCAGGGGAAACCGCCCCTCTCGCCGCCCGCTTCCCTGCTTTTCCCGCCCCGAGGCGGCCGCCGAGGATGGGGGCGAAGAAGCTGGTGGGCCGGGGGAGCGGCCTCCGGGAGAGAGGCCGGGCGAGAGGGGCTGTCCCCGCGGGCGGGCAGTGCCCCGCGGACCTTCGGGGACCCGCACGGCGGCGCGCGGCCGGGGCGCGGGTTGACCCTTCCAGGAGGAGGGGGCCGGAATGCGTGCTCCGATGCATTGTATGCCCGCGGAATGTGTGTTTCTCCTCTGTTCTCTTTGTGCGTTGCCCTTGGCTGCCTCCGGATTCTTCTTCTGGGAGTGAAAAAAAAATTTTTTTTAAAATCTCCCTGGGAAAACTGTTTGATCTGTTCAGCAAATTTTACATGATCCTATAGGGCGAACTGTTAAGGGATAAGCGAGAGCTGAGTACCTCCCATGTCTAATTTAGCTTTAAAAAATGGTAAAAAAGTCTGACCGAGCCGAAGAAGCACGCCAGAAATATGTGGACACACGTTTGCTGTAGGGATTGGTTTTCGGGTTTGAGAATTTTAACAGGTTGGAGCAGGATTTAATTTCTGCACAAACTTAGAAAAGGTCGATTGTAAAGCCTCTTGTGTTTAAAGGGTCTTTACAAGTCTTCGCAGCTTTTGAAGTTTCTGCGCCCTTCTTTTTTTTGTTCTGGATACTTTTATGTTAGTTTTATGTTGGGGATTGAGGGATAAGGAAGAGATGGAGAGGCCAGGATATTACTTAAAGTCCTTCGCGGTCTTCTGCCCGCGAATGCCTTTACCCCCAACATTTGCGTCATCACTAACTGCTTTGTGAATGTGTAGGAAAAAAATTAACCCACTAAAAAAAAGATTTAGAGTCCTCTCTCTCAGAAACCGTGGCAGGATTACATAGACGTTGTTACTTGCTTTCAAATTTCTTGAAGATAATTGTTTTTCACAGTGAAACAGTATGTACTTACTGTGATGGAAAAGCATCACAGAAGATTGTATGATTGGGGGGCGGAAGGGAGGGCGCTAGTTCCTTTTTTTTGGCTGAAGTGTGAGTATCTCATCAGTTTCTGTGTGTACCGGTTGTGTAACAAACTACAGTATACAGTATATTTGCTCCAGATGTGAAAGTCTTCCAGCAGTGTGAGACTGAGTGTCTCTTAAGACTGACTAGGAAGCAAAGTTTTACCAGGAACTCTTATTTGCTTTTTCCTTTACTATCAAGTTATTCCTGGGAGGCCCCCTGGTGCCTGCAGTCAGTGTTCACTGTTTTAAGACTGAATTTTAACAGATGTGTACATCTTGCTGGGTAGTGAGACATTTGCTTTGGGGGAAAATTTTTTTAAAAATATTTGTTGTTTGTTCTGAGAGGGAAATGTAGCTGTTTAAAAATATTAATATCCTGTTAACTTTGGGAGAAGTTTATGCTCACCATGAACTTGGCTTGTAAATTTAAATATTTAAAAATCTGATGCTTGTATCCAACTCCTTCAGTTTTATTTTTTATATACTTCTTTATATACTTTATAGGCATAAGACAAGATAGACATGTATTTTTGAATGTTTGATGTGGGTTGTCTTAAGTCATGGTTTTATGATTATACATAACTAAGAAACTTCACTCATGGATTGTTCGAGGTTACTAGGAAAAAGATATAGTGGGGAAAACAGGCTTAGTGATTCTGTTTGTTTCTGTGAATTTGAATTATATCAATGTTCGGTTCTGGTTTTTGATGATCGTTTTCCAGACATTTTCCCCTTTTAAATATAGCAAGAATTTATTGACCTCCTTTGTGCCAGTCACCAGGAATGCAAAGACAAGACACTGTCTCTTCATTCAGGAAATTCCCAATTTAAACAAGTGATTTTCAAGCATTTGCAGCCTGCTCTCTGTCAGTAAAGGGTACCATTACTTGCTTCTTAATCCTGGGAAGTATATTTAGTTTTGACAGTGCCTCCATGGGATTCTTAAATTCTCCAGGCTCCTTTCTCCTTTGCAAAATCTAGACCTGTCCAAAGACATCCAAAACAGACTTGGATTTTCTAGTAAGTAGTTATTTTAGTCTTGAAATAATTTTTTTTAGTCTCCAAATAAAAATCACGTGGTTTTCAGTGACATTAAATGCTAATTAAATTTAACTCAGATTCAAGTGAGGTTGCTTAGCAGAATAGCTATAGTTAAATTTTTGGTTTGTCTTTAGTATTAAATGAAAGTACAGGACTTGATCAGCAATACTTGATCTCATTTTAAAATGTTGATTGTAGTTCCATAACATAGTCTCGATTTTTTTTTCTTTTTATTACATCAAATTACCAGTCAGCTATAACACTTTTAGTATAAATTTTATGAGTTGCTTTGTGTTTTCTTAGGTGGGCAAATCATGTGAATTTCCGAAGCACCATTTACATTTAATTATTTTTGTTATTATTTAATGCAAAACAGTATACTAATTTATTGTTTGGACAGTGCATATTCCTCCAATATATTTTCTTGGTTAAGTTTTACTTACTACAAAGCCAGAGATTCCTACCACTCTCTGTAGTGACCCTGCTACTACATTGTTGTGGGTTTATCATCGTGCTTTTGACTGGTTGTTTAAATTGAAGCTAGTTTCTGTGAGTATCCTGAGAAATCCACTGAAAGCTTTTTTACTTTGATGAGCAGTTCCAAAAGGACTTAGGATGGCAGTGGGAGTATAGAGAAATCACCTGGGGAGCTTTATTCAGACTGTCAATGTTGAGTTTAGTTTGGAGGAGTTGAAATAGGATGAGTAGAATCTACTTGTTTGGGAATCTGCTTCCCAGTGGTTAAGACTGTGCTAGCTCTGTTCCCAAATACAGACATGATTCAAGTGTTTAAAAACGGGGCTATATCAGCTGATGATAACTAACATGTGCCCATTATATATATTATATCATATATTTGATTATTATGTATGTGTATCATGTACATTTAAAACTGTGAGTGTCTTGGATATGCTTTTCTGATTATAAAAATAAGCATTCTTATTCTTAAAGGAAAGAATTTCTTATATGAAACAGTGAAGAATTAAAACTAAAGTCCTCCCCATAATCCCATGATCCGGGGATAACTTGTTGAAATTTCGATGCATTTTTCTTTCAGATACTTTACATCTTTAGAATATTGTTTATATAGCTTTATGAGTTAATTTTTAAAAATTTTCTTGCAGTTTTTTTTTACTTTGCTACAAAGCTAAACTTAATATTATAAGATAAATTGTAGAATATTAGTATCATATTAGTAGACTGTTATTAAAAACTTAACATGACAGAATATGATTGTGTTTATATTTTTGGCCCACTGTTTATGAAAATCTTGGGATGTGTGTATTCTTGTTTTTAAATCCGTTTTTCACTTAATCACAACTTATCAGATGTCTAAATTTGTGGAACTGCTGTGATCATTTTTAGTTAAGCTGGAAGACTAAGCAAATAGGAAGTTTACCTCTTTTGTGTCCTTTTGAAAGTTAAGCAAAGGACTGGATTTGAAAAATGAAGATTAATGAAACCATATTAATGCCCCTCCACCCCCCCTTTTTTTAAGCTTTATTGTTGTTTTTTTGGCTGCACCATGCGGCTTGTGGAATATTAGTTCCCCAGCCAGGAATTGAATCCTGGTCCCCTGCATTGAAAACACTGTGCCTCCAGTCACTGGATCGCCAGGGAATTCCCAAGTCTCTCCTTTCTCCTTTTTAAATAATATTTTTATTGAGATACAGCTCACATACCATGCAATTTCTCCTTTTGAATTGTATAATTCAGTGGTTTGTAGTGTATTCAGAGTTGTGCAACCCATCAGTCACCACCATCACCATTAGAAAGTTCTCCCCACCATTCTCAAACACACCCCTGTTCCCATTAGCTGACAAGTCCCTTTTCCCTTCACTCCTCTCCAGCACTAGGTTACCCCTAATCTACTTTCTGTGGATTTTGCCTGTTCTCGACATTTCATGTGAATGAAATAATGCATTATGTGGTCTCTTGTGATTGACTTCTTTTTAATGTTTTGCAAGTTCATGTATATTGAAGCATGTGTCAGTATTTCATTCCTTTTATGGCTAAACTATTTCATTGTATGACTGTACCACATTTTAATTTGTCCGTTTGTCACTTGATGGACATTTGAGTTGTTTCCTGCTTTGGGCTGTTGTGAAAAATATTGTTACGGATGTTTATGTACAAGTGTTTGTGTGGGCATATGTTTTCATTTCCCTTGGGTAATATAACTGGGAGTGGAATTCCTTTGTCAATGGGTAACTCTGTTTAACCTTTTGAGGAACTGCCAAACTGTTTAAAGCTTCTTTTCTGATTCGGTTGTTCAATTATGACCCAGCAGTCTAAAGGTTAGGCAGTTTGAAGGAAGTACTAGTTGATCTTGGCAGCCTCAGCTTCTACAGGGCAAGTGTTTGTGTGTAAACCCAAGGCCAGGTCTCTTGAAAAAAGCAGGTTGAGGAATAGGGGAGATAGGCTGAAGGTTGCTTTCTCTCCTCTTGCTTCTTTTTAGATGAAAAGCTGGAGAAGGCGTAAAGATGGTTCATTGTTCAGAGATTGAGCGATTAAGTGGTTTTCCTGTTAGTTAGTTCCAGGTGAGGGAAATTTTGACGGTTTGTAGTAGTAGTCCAGGGTGTTGTTATTTTATTTGAATACAAGGCTTTTCTGATAAATGTCCAAATCCAAGATTAGGATTTATTGGGATTTAGAAATCTATTTACATTTGAGTCTAGAGACAGGATTATATTAAGATTTAGGATTAGTGAGGAAGATAGTAAATTTTATCAAGTATTTTTTTTCCTGTTGTCTTATTATCCACATTTATTGTTTTAATAGAATATCTGTTCTAATATCCTATCTTCTCAAGCAACTCTTAACAGGTAAAATAATGCAGCTGTTAAAAAT